TCTGACAGAAATTTACCCGAAAACAAAGTTGTAGATTTTTTTATGCTCTACAAATTCTATGTGAAAACTTAACCCGCCAGATTAATAGTTTCAGAGATATTTAATTTTTAATTTACGTTTTTTTTTGTTTGCCTATTATTTATTAACAAATTGAGACCGCCATTAGATACTTGTTAGAATTTCATATTAACCTACTTGGATTTGAAATTTCAAGAAATTTAAATTTTTCGATCAACTTCCAGTTGGCACAGCCAAACTGGGTAAAACTGACTAATTTCTGTGGGCTATATAGAATATAAATATTAATACGTATACTTCAAAAATTAGAGTTTCAACTTTTTTTTTTTTTAATTACAAAAAACTTTTTCACAGATGGTCACCAGATTTTATACTTTGTAAAATTTATTGTTCTCTATGTGGATCTTTTCTAATTTTCCTAATAAAAACTTCATAAAAAAAATTTTACGAGACCAAGAACGAGACTCTCGGGTTGCGCTATATATGGTCTCGGTATCGCCGATAATATTTTCAAAAACGTCTCGTCTCGCTTTTCCGAGATGAGACGAGAAAAATCTCGCTCTCGTGTGAAGCCCTAGTCGAGAAAAAAGTACGACTAAAACGGAACTTAGATTTCGACTGAGGACAATTTAAAGAGAAGGGGTAAAGTTCGAATATTTTATTACAGCCTCGAAGAGCTCAAAACTGTGGTAAAAAATTTTTTGAGCGTTTTGGACTCGAAAAGAGATGTTCCGAGGTTAGCGTGCGGAATTTCCACCGTTTTTCAGATTTTTCAATCTATTTGTGAATGATTATTTAATCAATAAATCACACGGATTTCAAGTCAACAATAAATAATGCACTCGGCTCTCGGTCATAATTAGAGTTGCAAAATTGATTCCCAATATCTTCGAACTGTAATAAGATGAGTAGAACCCAAATAATTATATTAGAAAGCTTTGAATTTAGTATTCAAATTACCATCCTTTGAATAAAAGGGATTATTTCCAGGGTTAATAACCCTAACTCTTTTAAGTATTTATGATCTAAAAGAATATTAACAGATATCTGTATTGATAAAATAATATTCAAGCATAGTTCTGATTGAAAAAAACAATAGCATTATTCAGAAAACAAAATCAATATTTTAACATGATGGTATAGAATATATGGTTAAAATTTCAGAAGGATCGGCCCGCGGGTTCCGGAGAAATTGTGTTGGCCGCTTTAAATTCTTTTAAATGACAAATCTTACCAAAATTTGATCTGCGAGCTTTCGCCTGAAACACTTAATACGTCTCCGAAAATTTTTAGATACATACACATTCGAAAAATGTAATAAAAAAATCGAATTTTTGTAAGAGACCAACTACACTACACTCATAAACATTAATCAACGTTTTTGAAAATTGCTAATAAGTAATATTTCTTACATATACACGGAAAGAAAAATATGGGAACGGTTCCCAGGTAATTATAGGAACTGTTCCCATGAATTATGGGAACTGTTTCCATAATTATAGGAAATTTTCCCAAAATTATGGGAAAATTTCCCATAATGATGGGAATGGTTCCCATAATGGTATAGGAATGGTTTCTATAATTATAGGAATGATTCCTATACAATTATAGGAACGATTCCCATAATATTATGGGAAATATTCCCATAATGATATAGTAATGGTTCCTATATCATTATGGGAACTATTCCCATAATGGTATAGGAAG